TTGAGCCAGACATCCTGGAGAGGGAAGTCAAGTGGGCCTTAGAAAGCATGGCTAACAACAAGGCCAGTGGAGGTGATGGCATTCCAGTTGAACTATTTAAGATCTTAAAAGATGATGCCGTTAAGGTGCTACACTCAATATGCCTGCTAGTTTGGAAAACTCAGCAGTGGCCAGAGGATTGGAAAAGATCAGTCTACATCCCAATCCCAAAGAAGGCAGTGCCAAAGAATGCTCCAGCTACTGTACAATTGCACTCATTTCACATGCTAGCAAGGTTATGCTCAAAATCCTACAAGGTATGATTCAGCAGTATGTGGACCGAGAACTCCCAGAAGTACAGGCTGGATTTCAAAAGGGCAGAGGAACTAGAGGCCAAATTGCTAACATGCACCGAATTAGGGAGAAAGCCAGAGAGTTCCAGAAAAACATCTACTTCTTCATTGACAACGCAAAACCCTTTGACTGCTTGGACCACAGCAAACTATGTCAAGTCCTTAAAGAAATGGGAGTGCCTGGCCACCTTATCTATCTCCAGAGAAACCTGTATGTGGGACAGGAAGCAACAGTTAGAACTGGATATGGAAACACTGATTGGTTCAAAATTGGGAAAGGAGTACGACAAGGCTGTATATTGTCCCCCTGCTTATTTAATTTCTATGCAGAATACATCATGCAAAAGGCTGGACTGGAGGAATCCCAAACCAGAATTAAGATTGCCAGAAAAAATATCAACCACCTGAGATATGCAGATGATACAACTCTGGAGGAGAAACTGAAGAACCTCTTAATGAGGGTCGAAGAGGAGAGTGCAAAAAACGGTCTGAAGCACAACGTAAAAAAACCTATATTTGTTATTTAATACATATATATTTATGTTAACTTCGAATAGGTACATATTTCAGGCCCTCTTCACAAGTTTTTAAAATTATTTTATATAGATGTCACAATATATATACAAAATAGCTGTGCAGCCTGTATCTTTCCATGCCATGATGCCAGAACACTAGTTACACTAAGCATTACAAGATGGATAATTGGACAGGGAACCACCATCTGCAGTGACAATTGTCTGTTTAATGTCACACCTGAATGTAACAAACATGTATTTTGTTGTTCCTATGTTTTGTAAATTTGCTTCCAACTCATAGTGATCCTAGCAGGATTTTTGAGGAAGATGAGGTGTTCAAGGAGCATTCCTGTAGAGGAAATTAGGATACAAGCTATATGTATAATGTGTGTGTAGGTTTGTGACATATGTGTAATTATATTGAGCTGATAATGCATGTAAATGCTTTGACCACGTCAAGGCACCATGCATTTATATATCGGCTGTCAAATGTTGAAAACATTTTACTTGTGTTCTCTTGGCATAGAATTGTGGGATAGCTCAGTGCTATAAGTATCAGAGGTTGGGAGTTCGATTCCCTGCAGTGCTTCTTTGACAGGGGCTGGACTCAAGCATACATAGGGTACCTTCCACCCCTATACTGTAGTCCTAAAATGATTATGATGGTTGTGAAGTCAATAATGCTGCGTAAATACATGAGACAGAATGACAGGCGTTCGCATGTTCGCACGCTCGACTGGCCCTGAGGGGGTCTCATGAAGGTTCCTCCACCTGAAGAGCAGGTATGAGGGGAGGGGGAAGAGCCTTCACCGAGGACGAAACGAGCCACGGCAACCGTCATTCACGGCTAACTTTCGTCCTAGCCTCACCATGCTTTTTGGCCGTTCAGGCTGTACCTATTGCGAAGGTGCAGTCGGAGGAGGAGGAGGGAGGGCGAGACCTCACCCGCTTCCTCTCCCCCCCCCTCACTCCGCAGCCGCCTCAGCCGCCACTCTCGCCCAGAGACAGGGAGCGGTTGGGAGCAAGGAGAGCTCCGCCTCCCTCTCTCCTTCCCTCCCCGCCTCGCCTCGCACCGCGGCCCGAGCCTGGGCTCTCTCCTGATTGACAGCCCGGGCGAGCTATGGCGGCCGCGACGGCAGCGGCGAGCCAGGCAGGCGAAACTTCGCCAGGCAACAGAGCCGCCGGAGGAATCGCAGCAGGGAGGCGAGCGCGGCGGCGGCAGCGCCTGTAGCCATCATCCCCGCCAGCATCATCTCCTCCTCCTCCTCTTAAGGGCTGCTCGCCCGCGGCTCCTACACTCCCTTCTCTGCCTCACTTTTTCCTTCTTCCTTTCTTCTCCCCGGTTCTCCACTGCTGAGGAGAAGAGAGAGAGAGGCGCCGGGAGAGGGAGGGGGGGAGGCAGGCAGGCAGGCAGGCGGC